AATGTTACATTGATACGACTACACATGCACACGAACTGGGGAAATTGGTAACTTTTAAATTTAATTTTTTTTTTTGTTCGTGACGGAGGGATATATAATCTAGCCGATTTTATCTAGATATCCCACACTGTGATAATAGAAGATTAACTAGGAATGGTGAATGTAAGAGCCAGTGAGCAAATTTAGTATGGGTGACATTCCGATAAAGGCACTCTGTAAACATTTTCGTCTTAGCGAAATTGTTTTCGCATAGTAGCATTACGCTACCAATACTATATATATATATATATATATATATATATATATATATATATATATATATATATATATATATATATATGCTGGACTCTCCTGTCGTTTTTTATCAACGTGTTTGGGTCAAGCAACTCAGTTCCTAGGAACCAACAGCCACACATCCGCACATATGATTTGATTATATTGATGAAGGATTTGTGCAGAGCCAACCACACATTTCAAAGAGCCGAATACAGCGAACTGGTGCATCACGTACCACAAGGTTCCCAAAAGACCATCTGCAGATTTTGAATTCTTTGCCTTCTTTTCTTCTTGTTCTTCTTCTTGTTCTTCTTCTCTTTAGAGCTTTCATACAATTCCCTCTCAGCCTTGTTTCTCACTCCCCTACATACACTTTTATTTTGTTTTAAACCGGAAGATATATTGTCTGTTTTCTTTTTTAATTTGTAGGTCTGATGAAATGGATAATTTATAACCATAAAATATTAGTTTTTGGGCCTTTTATATTATATTTTTGCTCTGTCTTGTACATAGAGCTATACCTGGATTTTAACCTCTTTTTATCCTTATTGATCACTAATATTCTCTCTCTCTCTCTCTGTATATATATATATATATATATATATATATATATATAAAAGAAAGAGGTTGTAGTGGTTCAGACGAGAGAAAAGTATGTATATTAAAAAGAAGAGAAGAGAGGTGCCGCAAACGTTTTTGGTTGTAATGTGGATTTATTTAGAAAAAACCCAGTCTGTCTTGCTATTTTACTATATATATATATATATATATATATATATATATATATATATATATATATATATATATATATATAGTTGATTTAGTTGCAATTGATAATTAATTTATCTGTATCTCACTCCTTACAAACCGTAATTTAACGTCTCTCTTTAAAAGTTCAGTCTATAAAATGTTATTCCTCACCTTCACCTTAGGTCCTTTCTTCTTTTTTTCAAAAAAATATTATGCTTTGTTTTACAAAACAAAGTATAATATTTTTCTAAATAAATCCACATTACAACCAAAAAACGTTTGCGGCACCTCTCTCTTCTTTTTAATATATATATATATATATATATATATATATATATATATATATATATATATATATATATATATATATATATATTAAACATGATATATTTAAGAATAAATCATTCGTTTTAAACATTTCGGGGAATTTCTCCTGAAGCTTAATGAGTCGTTTGATGTCGTCTAGAATCGTGTTGTCGACCATAATATGAAATCACTTCTAATTACAGTCTTTTTATGGCCGGCAATGCAGCAGTATTCGACTATTTCAGTTTCAAATAACAATTAACATTTGGGAGGCTCTTCACATCAAAAGGCGTCAACCCACCAACAATAAAATGTGATTCAATGTCGACTCGTATTTGTAACGTAAAATCATTTTATCATGTGATGCTAAAATCTCTTTAACCATCGTAGCACCTTCATCAAAATTTTACTAAAACGTCCCATTGTCTCTGCTTCGCAACTTTTAACTCTCTGCCTTGAAAATGACCAGTGATGCTTTGAGAACATTTGAAACTTAAATAATTCCGTACGAAGTTTATTTGTCTGTTTAATTGAATTGAACCTATTTAAACGAAGAACTGATTCGGAAGATATTTTAAGCCTGGAAACATTGGAAACGTCTAACAATTTCTGTCTAATTCATTTTAATTACATTTATACGTTTTCTGTATAATTAGTCTCACATGCAGGCTATTTTTAAGAACGTCTGGTATTTAAGGTTCAAACTTTGTTTCTTCGTTCTCGTAGACAGGTTGACCGCCAAAGTAGTCTGTTCTGCTATTTGACCAAAAGATTGAAGAAGATGGAGCGATAAAAAGGTATTTGGATGAAGTGAACGATTCGAGGGACAAAATTTTCTACGCTGAACTGTAGAGTACTCATATATCAAAATCGATAAGAGAGTCCAATGTTTGCCTGTGTGTTCACGCGTGTGTGAGTGCGTGTGTGTGTGTGAACGCGTGTGTGTGCGCGCGTGTCAGTAATATTTACTTGTGTCCCTTGTTTCAGATGTTATAATGGCGGGAAGATAACGTATTCGGGAAATGCGACACCAGAACCTGAAAGCGAATTGTAATAGATGAAGATGTCTTCCAGAAATTCAGTAGGTATTAAGAAACATGAAAATCTCATAATAAAGTGCACTGAATTGTTATATAATATCAGTCCTTCCCTATGGCAGTGAATTCTGAAGAATCTCCTCACACCTGAAGATGAGATTCCTAGCAACATAAATGCCACTCTACAGAAGGATGCTGAGAATTCCATGGACTGAACATGAGAGCATCAACAAATGTTTAGAGAAAAATGAAAACAAAAAGGATACTTAGAATCAGAAAGAGACGGCTGAAATTTCTACTGCACATAACGAGGAAAGAGGACTTGGAAAATTTGACACTCACATGGCATAATGAAGCCAAAAGGGTCAGAGGAAATCAGAGCATAGGTTGTGCAAATAGTAGAACAGGGTCTAAGATAGATAGCAAAAACAGATATTGCTAACAATTACAAAGAACAGGAAGTTGTGGAGAATCATGACCGCCATCGTTTTGAAGGGGCACGACTGATAGAAGGAGTAAAAAATTCGGAGGCATTATGAAAACTGCCTTCTTGTAGGATTTGTGAAGTGTCCCCGCCTCCATAAAAAAATTCAGAATTAGACGACGAACAGTTGTCGCTGATGAGGCTTAAGAGCAGAAGAGAACCTGACGACCAGAAATCGGAAACTTTTAGAAGAGTTCGAACTCTGAAAGAATAAATTATGTCGATACTCATATAAGATTTGTTTTATTTCGGTTTTAATAGAATCGCAACTGCGCATGTGACTTTTAAACTTTATAACTATTGCATTGTGGAAACGCCTCCAGAAAGCATGCTTTCTCCATCACTAGAATCTTAATCTCTTCAAGTGTAGGGTCAACCGTTATCTGTCCCCATTATATGCAACACTTGTGCTATCTTTGTACGCCCTTACAACAACATGGTTTAGTAACCCTCTACCGTGATTCGATCCTGCGTCTTGTATCGGGTGATACATATAAAAAAAGGTAACATATATGACACATCTGTCTATATTTTTGAGATGAGGCATTATGTACACTATTTACATTCTTCGGACTATTGTCCTCATCTTTGTCGCCATATTTATTACAACGTTTCGGCCTTTCAGTATCTGTCTATATTTCTGAGATGAGGTATTATGTACACTATTTACATTATTCGGACTATTGTCCTCATCTTTGTTGCCATATTTATTACAACCTTTCGACCGTTGTTCGCTCCGGCCTTCTTCAAAGTGGTTGGAATGTCGAACCGAACCCTTTATTTCGCTCGCTGGGGTAGACAGTTCTAGTTCCACGTGCCATGTCTAATAGATGACAGTTATCAGTTATCTACTGTTAATTTACCTCTCCAAGTTCTCCACCGCCATAACCAGATATTGAACTCACACTCTTTGGGTTCTGTTCAGTTCGACATTCCAACCACCCGAAGAAGGCCGGAGCGTACAACGGCCGAAACGTTGTAATAAATATGGCGAGAAAGATGAGGACAATAGTCCGAATAATATAAATAGTGTACATAATACTTCATCTCAGAAATATAGACAAAATATGGGTCCTGTCACTATCGATCTAACCAACGCCTTTATCCACTTAAGGATATCTGTCTATGAATTTCTGGGACTTATAAACTTAATGTATTCATCAACCATTTTACCAGTGCTCATATTGCAATTTTTGCTGTTATCATGTCATGTTTTCTACCAGGGCTCATACAATGTCACATGGATTTGATAAGTAGCTTATGCACTGTTTCACCTTCTTCTTTCGGCTTTCATATGTTCCATGAAGTTTTAAATTCTACAAGCTGTCTCATCTTATGGGTTTCGGAAATGTCAGTCGTCTCTGTCGCTATATTTCCTTATCGTTACCATTTTCCATAAAACTTCCTCATTGCTCACATGTTCATTCTGTGATAATTTCAGATATTTCAGAACCACATTTCTGCTGATGCATATCGCTTCCTTGTGGCTTACATACACTGTCTATGGTATTCTCGGCATTTGTTTGTTTTATTTGAGAGCGTAATTATTTCAGCTGAATGTTGGGCTGGTGTAAAAGCTGCTTCAATTGATGAAAATGCGAGCTTGAAAGAAAAATGGGTTCAGAAACAAAAATAAAAGTAAGATTAACGTAAAGAAGAATAAGAGGAAGAATAAGAAGAAAATAGAGAAAGAAGAAAAAAACAGAAGATAGAGAAATATGGAGATAAACGGAAGAAAGAAAGAAAGAAACAAAGAAACGAGAGAAAGTTAATGAAGGAGAAAAGAGAGCAAGGGAAAAAAAATAGGAAACCCGAAAAAGAGAGAAAGAAGGAGGAAAACGACAGAAAGAGAGAGGAAGAGAAAAACGAACGATAAAAGGAAGAAAAACGAGAGAACGTTAAAGAAGCGTGAAGAGAAAAACGAAAAAATAGAGAAAATGAAGAAAAGGAGAGAAATAGAAAAAAGTGTGGAAGAAAATGAATGAAGACGAGTGAGAGAAAAAAAAAAACAGAACGAAAATGAAAAGAAATGAAAGCGAAAAAAAGGAAAAACGGAAGAAACAAGGAGAAAAATAGGAAAACCACAAAAGCTGAAGCCACAGAAAAAATAAAGAGAAAAATAAGAGAAAGATAAAGAAAGAGAAAAC